CTACATTGCCACGCCAACTGAGCATATGTGTGTCAATAATCCTGCCAACTAAACATCAATGTGTGTGCAACTAGACTACATTGCTACGTCAATTGCGCATATGTCTGTGCAACTAGTGTCCTGCCAACTAAACATCAGTATGTGTGCAACTAGACTAAATTATAAGCCAACTGAGCATATGTGTGTGTAACTAGTCTTTCTGCCAACTAAACATCAATGTGTGTGCAACTAGACTATATTAAAAGTCAATTAAACATCAATGTGTGTGTAACTAGACTAAATTACAAGCCAACTGAGTATATGTGTGTGCAACTAGTCTTCCTGCCAACTAAACATCAATGTGTGTGCAACTAGGCTACATTATAAGTCAACTAAATATCAATATGTGTGCAACTAGACTACATTACAAGCCAATTAAACATCAATATGTGTGCAACTAGTATATATTAAAAGCCAACTGAGCACAAAATAGCTAAATATAAGACACTCCTGATTATATCAAACTCCGTCAGGTCTGCTGCGGCACTATCGGACGCGTTGAGGAGGTTGAACTTGAGCGCGGTCAGGCTCTCAGGGAAGAGGAGGGGCCAGAGTCGGAGGATGTCGTCGGAGAGAGGAATTTGCGGAGGAGGACAACAACCATGGTGCGGAGCTCGGTGATGGACGGGTCGAAGGAGGCCCAAAGTAAGGACAAGGCTTGCAATCCACTACTAGATAGTTGGTCGGTATACTAGACTATTTGCACATCAAGTTGTTATGGTTGGTAGGTTGCAACCTCATATGAAGTTAGATCATGTAGCTCCAAAGTTGGTTTAAAAAAAGTTGCACCATATAGTACTAAAGTTGCACAATGCAATATTTTAGTTGCACCATATAGCATCAAAGTTGGCATCAAAAAAATTTTATCGAAACATATTCATGCGGGATCTAGTTTCGAAGATCTCGCCGCGATGAATCCAACGATGAAAACAGATCTGAATTCCGACATGTGGTTTAGAAGATATGACTTTTAAAAAATTTAAGACGCTAAAATAAATGTGCATGAATCTATTTTCCAAACTAGTATGCACGCATCTAATGCTACCAATAAGGACGCTGCTACCCATCAATCGGATGATACCAGCTAAATATCATCCGCCTCGCTAGCCGTTGATTTACAACATAGCCAGCCATTTGATTTGACTATCACATGGGTTTGTCCGCTGACGCATCATGTGGGCACACAATACGTACATGGGCCGGATATGATTAGGAAAAAAGAACATGCATGCGAGGGTCACACTGCAGAGTCCATGCTGTCTGCAGTTCTGCCCTGTGGCCTGCGCATGCATGTCAGCTCTTTTCCACGGCGAACTTTATTGTCGAGTTACATTTTGAAAAGAGATAATAATCAGAAGAAAAAAATGGTGTAGATTTATAGTAAAACCCACTCGCTATTGCAACCAAAAGTACGCAAACGCATCATTAAAAACCAATTTGGTATTTAGAAAAAAATATGCTACACCCTTACACATTTTTTAAAAATTACTAAAATTCTAAATGAAACACTTTTCTAACGATCGTAACAATAAAAAGGTGTTTGGGAAACGATTATTATCAGGAGCGGCAATAAGTTCTGTAACGTCACGGTTGGCTTTGCGGCAACAGAAACATCACCGCCAGGCGACTGACCTTGCGTGTCAAAAGACCAGTTTGAAACATTCAAGCGTTCAACCACAACATGACTGGTCTTGTAGCTTCATTTGGTGCTACGAGGGGGCACCAGTTGCTACAAGGCGTCGCTGTGGTGGCAGATGATGGTCTAAGATGACAGCTGAGGACGGCATGCTCATGCAAGGGCGCCCCAATGCTGCTATGAAATATGAGTCCGCCCTGATTCACAACACCACCTCGCAGCAACGATGTCAATGATGTGTTGGGGTTGCAACTCACGCGATGTTGTGCGGCAACGGGTGCAACTTGGGAGATGTTGCGACTGCAACGTGGGACATGCTGAGAAGGCCACAATGTAGGCGATGTTGCGACCGCAACATGGATGATGTTGTATGGTGACGGTTGCAACTTGGCAGATGTCACATGTTGTGGCGATGGCAATGTTGCGATTGCAACTTGGGCGATGTTATGTGGGATGACTAGAACTTGGGAGATTTTCGACTACAACATGGGGCATGTTGTGACGGCCGGAACATTGTCGATGTTGTGTCGCGATGAATGTTTGCAATGCTCACCTTGTTGCAAACCTCCCGAGCGCGACATGGGTCATGTTGCAAATGATGAGTGCAACATGAGTCATGTTGCAAATGGTGATCGCCGCTAAATGGCGTGAGCCACGTGTCAGCCAGTTGACGCATAGCGCCCGCCAAAAAAATCAGTTGCATGAGTTGCAGCATTGCGTGTCTAGGTTATAGTAGCACCGACCGGGCCTCGCAGCACCACGCGCCAGGCTTTACAGCCAACCGGTCTTATAACGACGTGTGTATGCGGTAGCGCCAACCATCCTTTGTAGCGTCCGCGCTACCGACTTTCCGATGCAACAAATATATATTTGGTCGGAGAAAAACATAAAGTAAAATATATTAGGTTGATGTAACATGGCGAGCCAAACACTTATATCACATGAAAAAACACTTTGCAGCATGGATCATAGTTGCATCAAACACTTAGAATCATCCCAAGAGAATGTAGTCAACTTTTTTTTTAACTTGAATGTAATCAACTCTTTAAAAGAAAACGGAAAAAAAACGATGGCAGTGGACGGCAGATGAGAGAGAGCAGCAGAGCATCTTCTTGGACCTGGGCGTCTCGTTGCGGCCGCATGCAGCCATGCATGTATGCACTTGCGCTAGGATTAGTACTAGTATCAGTTTTTTCAAGGGCATACTAGTATCAGCTAGTAGCTGTGTAGCCACAAGGGCTAGCTAAAGGAGCCTACTACAAATCATCCGGATGATTTTAGTCAAAATTAAGCCGCCTCCACAGCCCTCCGATCAAATGCTCTACAGCCGTACAAATCAGCCAGCTCCCATGTGTAGCACCACGCAGCGGCATGCCAGCACCCATGACAGCAGCTCGCAGCCCCGACGGGTGCCCGGCGGCGCTTCATGGCAACCTTACGGAGCTCCAACAACCCCCATGGTGCTTCACTGCAGCTCCGACGATGCTCGGCTGCGCTTCATTGCAACCTCGCTGGAGCTCCAACGACCCCCACAGCGCTTCACTGCAACCTCGCCGAAACTCGCGGCGCTTCAATGCAGCTTCAGTGGCACTCAACGAGGCTTCATTGTAACCTCGCCAGAGCTCCAACGACCCCCGCAGCGCTTCACTGTAACCTCGCCGGAGCTCGCGGCGCTTCACTACAGCTTCTGCGGTGCTCGACGTCGCTTCATTGTAACCTTGCCGGAGCTCCAACGAACCTCGCGGCGCTTCATTGTAACCTCGCCGGAGCTCGCGGTGCTTCACTGCAGTTTCGGCGACGCTTCATTGCAACCTCGCCGGAGCTCCAAAGACCCCTGCGGTGCTTCACTGCAACCTCGTCGATGTTTCGCTGCAGCGCCAACACCGTCACGGCGATGCTCCGTGGCAGCACACCGACGGCCGTCGCCAAGCTTCACTGCAACGTCAGCATCGCGCGGCTGCCCCATCAAAGCTCCACCGCAGCACCCCGATGGCTGCCGGTGAAGCTTCATTGCAGCGGGCACGACGCCGACGGGGTTCTGCGATGCAGCACGCGGCAACGACGGCGGAAGTTGTTACGCAGCACGGCGGCGCGCTGAGATGCAGCGTCGCAGCAGCGGCCGACGGTGCCGATGGCACTCGGCAACACTGAGCACAACAACAAGCGCCACGGATGCTAGGAGACGACATGGGTGCGGCGGGTCGACGGCTACTGGGATGCTGCAGGTTCACCGCGGGAGTGCTGCACGCCGCGTGCGGAAGCTCCGGCAAGGGCCATGGCGAAAGGTCAAAGAGGAGAAAGAAAGAGGAAAAATCGGGATCGCGTGAGTGGTGGAAGTGGAAGAACAAGTGGGTCTCGTTGCTGTGCGTGAAGATAAGGTAGTCGCTGGGTGCGTGGTCCAGAAGGACGCGCAGCGCCGCACGATCAGCTTTGATCGGATGGCTCGCGAGGCAGTTTGCATCAGCCAGAAATCAGTCGGGCAATTTTAAACGTTTTCCTTAGCTAAAACATAGCACCAGCGCGTGCCCGACGGAAACAGCAGCAGTCCCCATGTGGACACGTGGCTGCCTGCGAATCGGTGGATCGGTGGGGGGAATCATCCGGTTTAAAACAAGTCTTTTCCTAACAATAATATCCACTAGCTGACAAAAAAGACACACATGTGAGCCCGGCCGTCCGTTTTTGTTAGTTGATGGCCGGCCGCTTTTTAGATGATGGCCATGCTTGCCGATCTTACACACATGGACAGCGGCCACGTGTATAAGCCAACTAAACATCAATATATATAAGATCCTCTGTTTGGTACTCTGCGAGAATTGGCAAGTGTTATATGTTGAGCTCGAGCTCCATTGGTACGAAACAACCCGGTAAATTGAGCCCAAAGCAGCATGTACCCCATCCAGAGGCACCATCGCCGGGGCATTATGCTAGTGTTTTTTTTAGCATTATGCCCAAGGTTACATGCGTACACCTTTTGCCCACGCTGTTGGCTGGACTCTTGTGAGATGTGAGGCATGCATCCAAGCATATCTAGAGCAGGTCGTAGCGGTGGCCGCTGGTTCAGTGTGGTGCTGGAAGCATACGCGACACCGACGGCAAGATGTGGAGCGATTCACGCTAGGTGTCATGCATACGAGCGATGCTCGTGTGTGAGCTAGCGTGCTTCTTTGTTGTGTCATGGCAACCGAACACGATAAATTCTTTGTTGTGTGTGAGCTCAACGGCAATGCAGTATAGCGTCTGCAACTCCACCATGAAAGGCTGGCCAGTGTCGCCGCTTTTTCCCTGCGTTCTTCTCTTCCTGACGTTCTTGTTCGCTTCGTCTGTCGCGGAGCCGGTGGCCATGCGCGCCGATCTTACACACGTGGACAGCGGCCGCGGCTTCACCAAGCACGAGCTCCTCAGCCGGATGGCCGCCCGGTCCAAGGCCCGCATGGCGACCCTACGCTCGTCGGGCAGCGCCCCGGCGGTGACCGTGCCAGTAGCCCGGGGCGGCTTGGACGTGGGTTTTTCCGAGTACCTCGTCCACTTGGGCGTCGGCACGCCGCGCCCGCAGCGCGTGGCGCTGACGCTGGACACCGGCAGCGACCTCGTCTGGACGCAGTGCGCTTGCGCGGCCTGCTTCGACCAGCCGTTCCCGGTCCTCCGCGCCTCCGCCTCCAGCACCTTTCGCCGCGTCCCGTGCTCCGACCCTCTCTGCGGTCACGCCGTGTACCTCCCGGTCTCCGGGTGCGCCGCCAGAGACAGGTCCTGCTTATACGCCTACGGCTACGGCGACAATTCGGTCACCACTGGCAAGGTCGTCGAGGACACTTTCACATTCAATGCTCTCGGGGGCAAGAAGCACGCCGCCGTGGCCGTGCCCAACCTCCGGTTTGGCTGCGGCATGCTCAACGTCGGCCTCTTCAAGTCGAACGAGTCCGGCATCGCCGGCTTCGGGCGCGGCCCGTTGTCGCTGCCGTCGCAGCTCAAGGTCGGCAGGTTCTCCTACTGCTTCACGGCCATCATAGAGTCGAGGACCAGCCCGGTGTTCCTTGGCGGCGGGCCGGACAACCTTGAAGCTCATGCCACGGGGCCCATTCAGTCCACCCCGTTCGCCCCAGGCCCTGCGGGTGCGCCTGTGGGTAGCTCGCCATTCTACTACCTTTCCCTCAGAGGAGTCACCGTCGGCAAGACGCGGCTGCCGTTCAACGCGTCGGCGTTCGCGCTCAAGGGCGATGGCTCCGGCGGGACGATCATCGACTCCGGCACGGCCATCACGACCTTCCCACAGGCCGTGTTCCAGAGCCTCCGTGAAGCGTTCGTGGCGCAAGTACAGCTACCTGTCGCCAACGGCTACACCGACGCCGACGGCAGGCTGTGCTTCTCCCTCCCGGCGATGAAGAAGGCGCCCGCCGTGCCGAAGCTGATCCTCCACCTGGAGGGTGCAGACTGGGACCTTCCACGGGACAACTACGTGCTGGATAACGACGACGACGGCACCGGCGCGGGCAGGGAGCTGTGCGTGGTGATATCTTCGGCGGGCAAGAGCGACCAGACAACCATCGGCAACTTCCAGCAGCAGAACACGCACATCGTCTACAACCTGGAGAGCGACAAGATGGTCTTTGCGCCTGCGCGCTGCGACAAGCTCTGAGTTATACTATAAGTGTGTGACCAGACCATATCGAGCGTGCGCCTGCATGTAATTGTATGCGACCGCAATACATGTATCGTGTTCTGCTGGCGATTCTTCTGGTACTAGCACTAAGTAAAGAACGTGTTCGCTAATCTCAGGTGGGGTCCATGTGGCGAGTGATAGCGGCGAGCTTCGACCATGGCAAGGCCGAGCCGACTTCGCAAGAGACGGGGACGGCGCTGTGAGCCCTAGCTCGTGCGACCTGCATGCATCCACTAACAAACCACTACATGCACATCCATATCCCTAGCTCGTGCAGCCCGCTAACAAACCAACGTATGCGGCCGATTTTGTAGCTGCTGGACGTAGCGTCCAAGCGAGCCTCCGCTGCGCACGCATGCCTCGGACTCACGCGCCATCCCGGGCACACACGCACGCATGCGACCCTAGCTCACACGCCATGACATACTCGTGGTTTATCTCCTAACATGGCTTGAGGGGTGTGGGTTCGCCGGAGAATCTGTTGGCCGGTGGGGATGTCTGGGTGGTGGGAGCATGACAGCGGGCGGAGTTGAGGGGAGGGCGGGCAGTAAGGCGTGTGTGGGAGTGCTGCTGGCCGAGACTGGTGGTTTCAAACGGCCCGACCGACATGGTAAGGAGATTGGAGTTGGATCAAGGTTGGATAGTGACTAGAGGAAGGACACCGTTGGGACGAAGAGGAAAGGACATGAGCCATTGGATGCTGATTAGATGGATGAGAAAAAAGAGAGTGACCCCCAAAAAAATATTGAGGCACCTATTGAATATGCACTCCCAATATAGTATTCCTGGGTTGCACCAGCGAGACCTCGATGCAATTTTCTCTGAAATGGACGACTGCTCCCACAGCACAGAGGTCTCCAACTTCAACGATAGGAACGACGAGGGCGACAATGTTATCTTCATTTCCTATGGTAAGCAGGAGTAGGTGGTGCAGCCTCGTTTGGCTCTACTGATGTTGTATTGCAAGAGCCCGGAACCATGGGGAGGAAGGTGCAGCTGCTCGTGTAACTGGCAGCCTTGGACAGTTCTTGAGCTGGGTGATAATGGAGACCCACCCAACACCCATTGGAGGCCGTCTGAGTGTATCCTACCACGCTCTGTGTTGATGGCTAGTGATCGTTGGTGGGAGTGGTACCGAGAACCATAGTTTGCTGCAACACCAGCGCCTGGTAAAAGGTACCCCTTGCAATAGAGAGCAGATACCTATGTGTTGCCGTTGTAGCTTGGGTAGGAGATGAGTACTGAATGTTTCAATGTAAGTTTGTCCTTGAGTTCTTAGAACATGGTAAAGCGATGTTTGGCTTCGGCATTTAGCTTTCGAAGTTGTGTTCTTCAATCTTGCTCCTTACTGGGAGAAGAAAAGCCGATCTCTGTTGTGAAAAGGAGCTAGAACGCAATTACCTGTTTTGACCAGAGAAGAAAATGTTTCTGTGGATGTTTAACTTCCATTTTACAATAAAATGAAGCGGGAATGGTCACTGTTTGAACTGTATTTAAGAATCACCAAAAAGCCAGTGAATTGGCATGTCCTTCTTTCCAGGGCTCACTTTGTTCTAAAAGAGCACGAAGAATGTCAGCGTGGTAGGACTGATCAGAAGTGTAGGCAATGGTTGATGCCTGGATTCCTAAGAATCACCTAAAAGAATGTTCCTGAATCATGGTTGGTGGATTCTCAACAAAAAAAAAGAGGATCAGAATTGGTTTTAGTAACTGAAAGTGTGGCCTTGCCAATATATGCACATTAGTGTGCTTGGATCTGACAGTCATACATGCAGTATTTAGTGCTAGTGATCGGACAAGTGCAAGTACGTAGGCATTCTTAATTAGCGTATACATGGTTGTAATACACCATGTGAGGCCGGGGGTCTTCCTCCTCTTCTAAAAAAAAAATACACCATGTGAGGGTAAAGCTGGATCTGCAGGCTAGGTTATGATGAGTTATTTTCATTGCCAGGAGAGCTTTGTCTTGAGTCCTGACTGTTCTCTACAGCCTTGAGTGGACAAATAATTGAGAGGATTTGTGGTATGGTCTTGTCGCTAACAAAGATGCTTGTTTCACTACTAAACCAACAGTGGGGTAGTGCCGTGGTGGTGCAGTTGGCTAGCGCATAGATCTCATAGCTGCAACGTGAGTGATCCTGAGGTCGAGAATTCTAGCCTCTCTCACCCCAATTAGGAAGAAACAGACCATTTGTGATGATGAAATGCTCTGTGACAACTTGGGTCGTCACATGTACTCCTGAATTATTAGGTGAGCTGAGCTACTCTGAACCCTGATCTCTCTTTACTTTTTTATCGTGATATTTATTTTGATGAATAATCCATGACAGCATGAATTCGGTATGGCTCCATTGCCATGGTTTGCTAGTAACATTCTCCTTAGGCCTTGTACAATGGGAGGTGCTTAGGGGAGATGCTTAGAGAAATAAATCAGGCTTTCTTTAAGCACCGGTGCTTATTTGTACAGGATAGGCGCTTAACTAAGCGTATCTCCTGTAGAAATAGGCACCGATGCTTCAGAAAAATTCGGTTTATTTTTCTAAGCATCTTTCTAAGCACCTCCCATTGTACAAGGCCTTAGGGTTGCTCATATTTAGATGTGCCATGCATGCTACAGACGTCAAGGGCTACACCACTTTCTGTAAAATTAAAGGACCACAACCGTTCCCAAGTGCTGTTTGGTGAAGCAATTATGATATCTTGGCCACACAAAACATTGGTCTCTAGCTGACCTCCTATAAATAGCTCTCATACTTGTCATGTACCAGGCCACACTTTAGTTTGTAGAGGGCTAAAGGAGGATGAAATTGTGCGGAGGAGAGATAACAAGTGATGAGCGAGGTGAACTACCCCGATGGTCACATAGCACGATCTAACGGGGAATGTGATGCATTGGTAATTTGAATCGGGAACAATAGTAGAAACATAGTTCATGTACGGATGATAAATTTAGTGAGTGTAAAACCAATGACACTTCTTTATTACTTGTAGGAGAATACACCACAACTCTCTGTTGTCCTGTCGGTGTTACTCTACCTAGATTGTCAAGTCGTGTAGTGCATCACTAGAGTGGCATATGGGTAGTTCTAAACAGGGGCGTTCTAGCAGGGCCATGGCCTGCGGCGTGGCTGTATAATCCTTCGTTCGCTGTAGCTTATTTTACCACTGTAGCTATTAAAGGTGTTGTAGTTGTGAGAGATGGCCCGGGGCGTAGCCCAGCCTTGGCTACGCCGCAGGATCTAACTATGTCTCGGTCTCCTCCGCCAGTGCGCACATATAATATTCCAACTATTTACACATTAAATGAATGAGGCGACGGGAGAGGGAGGATGAGGCGGTGGTTGCCTTGAACAAGATGGAGCCCAATCGATAAGGGTCATCCAAGTTTGTGGAGCCCAAGCAGCAAGCGGCCTGTGTACGATTTTTTGTCCAAAAGGACCCCCTGACCAACAGAATTAACAAAAAAGACTACCTGTGAATATATTTGACAAAAAGGACCCCCTGGGCCGTGGCGGCAGGCGCGGCAGGCGACACGTGTCACCTGCCGCCACGCCACGAGGCGGCGGGCCCGGCCGCCACAACAGGAGGCGGCAGCCTGGTGTATAACGGTGTGTGCACAGTGCACAGTCCGGCGACGTAACGGGCCGCGCCAGGTGGGCCCGGCCGCCACCGGGTGAGGCGGTCGCCGCTGCCGCTGTCGCTACACGGCCGACAAGGCCTGCTGCGCGCGGGCCCAGCAGGTGGGCCACGCCGCCACCAGCCGAGGCGGCCTGTCCTGTGCTGCTGCACGCTCCACAGTGCACAGACGGCGCTGATTTCATGGACGCTTTTGGTTCTTTCGTCCGGAAATCAATCCTGCCTTTGCTTCTTTTGACTCAGTGGATGCGATGGCACTGGGAATCCGAGGCTACGGGAAGCTTTTGTGCCGACACTACAGGGATCGTAAATATCCCCGCTTAATTTTCTCGCCATCATTTATCGTCTGAGCTTATAAAAGGAGACACCAAGGCTCTCGTCCAGCCATCCTCGAAATCGGCAGCGCGCAAATTGTGTAACACATTTTTTCAGTCGGTATGAGTTTGCCTTGCTCGGATCAAAGCATTAGGCCGAGGAAAATGAAGAATGCAAGTTTGCCTCCGGGGGTGGCAGTCCTGCGATGTTGGTGTGGCGATCTTTGCAAGGTAAAGGAGGTTACGGATTTTTCAGATTGGTTGGGCATGAAGTTTTTCATGTGCGCCAATTATGAGGAAGATCCACCCATAGCTATTTCAGAGTACGACAAGCCTCCGGTATGCTATAACCATCATAAATAGATATTGTTGGTATTTTGATAGATTCTTTAATAACATTCTGGTTTCTTGTTGTAGTCTCCTCCGCCTCTGTGCATGTACTATCGTTGGATTGACACGGAGATGCCGGCTTGGGCAGTGACTGAGATTCGTGAAAGAAGTCGCCGTGCGTGGAATAGTTTCTATGCGGAAGAGCGATGCGAGAAGGCGGAAGCTGAGGAGAAAGCAGAGCAAGAGAGAGAGTTAAAAGAATACTATGCGGAGCAACACCGGTTTTTTCAGGATTTAGGAAAGAAAAACAGGGAAGAGGTTCGTCGCATGGAGGAGCAGGAACGACAGCGAAAGGAGGCTCGTGAGGCGGAGAGGCGGAGAAAGAAAGAAAGGGCTCGTCAGGCCAAGGCAGCAGAAGAAGCTGTCGATGAAAAAGGAAAATATCCACGTTGGACTCAGTAGATTCCTGTGGTAGTATTTTAAATTTGGCAATCATTTGTATCTTTATTTCTGCAGTTTAATGTAGCTTCATTTCAGTAGTTAAATGTAGCTTTATTTAAATTCTACGATGTATCTTATTTTCAGTTGTACCTTGTCGTGTTGTATCTTATTTTCAGTTGTACCTTGTCGTCATGGAAAAATATATAGTTTTAGAATAAAGTAGTGGCATTTTCTTTCCCTCCACTAATTATCGAA